TTCTCTCTGAGGGCCTGTGAGCCTCAGACGACAATTTAATTGTGAGCAAAAGAATCCACCACTGAAGAAACTACTTAGAGCTTGAATGGTAGGATGGATTTGAATATCCCTGCAGTCTTTTCCTCTCTGTGTGCTTTCTTTCTCTAGGCTTGAAGAACTATTTCTCTCTCACTCTAGAAATCAAGGACACCTTTCTCTAGCATGTAGAGCGCCTCCACTTCTTTCTCTCTAGAGATTTTGGAACTGGGGCCCAGTAGGGTTATTGAGACATGGAAAATATACTGGGTCTTGAGGATTGTAAGCAATGTTCAGTAAGTCGGAGGCGGCTGCCTAGGCGATGGGAGGGGGGGGGGAGGTTGGGGTTGGGGTTGGGGTTGGGGTTGGGCTGCCTAAACACAAAGATGACCAGTGATTTTTTAAAAAAAGAAGTTTGGATCCCCCATACCTCCCACATTTTATTATATATAAAATTGTTTGTTTTACTATTTAATAAGTTAGTTTTGTATTTAATATATTGTTAAGATGCCAGAAGCACATATCAAACCTATACAGACGGTAAATGCAATAATTATAGCTCAAAATCAACATTAAAAGATAAAATGAACTCGAGATGTCATTTAAATCTCGCAAATCACAAGTCACTCACAAGTCACAAATGTTTCAAAAGTCATTGGCAAAAAGTCATATGAACTCATGTCCGACCAACAAAAGCCACAAATTACAAAGTCTTCTTCAACCCACAAATATGATGAACTCAATTATGAGCTTGAGTTTCATCATCACTACGAACACAACGTCGTTGTCTGGCATGTAGTCCACCTGAATCTGATGATGATGTCAAGCCATCATCATCATAGTAATCCTCCTCCTCCTCCGCATAAAAACCTTATTTCCTTCTCACATCTGAGTTTACATCCTCTTCTTCCTCCAAGATCATCGTCCTCCTCGTCTACGCCTTCTTCTTCCCCCTCCCCTTTCCCTTTTCTTGAGCCGTTTTCTTCCACTTCCTCTATGTTTAGGATGTTGTAGCTCTCACTCGGCTCGATGCCAAACCAACCGCCTCTTGCACTTGGGTCCATGTCAAGCTCTCTCCCTGGAATACATGCTCATCCCTGGCATCGGGCAAGACCATCCACTCGCTTGTTGGATCTATATCTTTCATAAGTATGAGGTCTTCAATTTGAAAGCACTCTAGATGGCGCTCTTTCAACTTTGATTGTACTAAACAAAAATAAGGTCATTCAGTCTCTTCTACTCAAGTCTATTTCTCTTCTTTGCATGTACATGTTTCATAGTAGACCATTTTCATATTACAATTTTTTACTTTAAAAAAAACGTATCAATAAAATTATTATCATAAATTGATAGAAGATGACGCTAAGGGTAAATAGAATATTCACCATCTCGAAAGTGTTGAAGTTGCGATCGCAGACGAATGATGTACATGTCAAGTTCAATACTCGTTGCACCATCTTATGCAAGATGGGGGCACTTTATCCATGGTTGTTCCACTAAG